AAGCAGAGTTGTTTCTGTCCATCATCATACAGCCCCATTTTTAGAGCAGTCCAAAAGGGGCTTTCTAGCCTATCTTTCTGCAAACCATACTGCTTCCAGGTTTTTTGGGGTGGGAGCTTGCTGCTAAATGTAGGGGTAGAGAGAGGGAAGACTCTTGTGCCTTTGTGTGCTGGCGGAGACAGCTTCCTCGCTAAGCTCCCCTCACCTTCTTTTAAAAAAAAAAAAAAAAAAAAAAAAAAAAAGAAGAGCAGCTTGCTAGCAATTCACCAGAGGAGCCAACTCAGCTGCAGACAGACAGGCAGGCAGGCAGCCAGGACTGAAGTAAAAGCAGCCTGAGTATCACTGGCAACAGCCCAGACTGCCTTCCTCAGTTTGGACTGCTCTCCCCTAAAATATGCGTCCATAGCTGTGGATCCTTAAGGGCCGAAATCTGTGAATATCCAGTGAGTACGAGGTCCAACACAACATAACAATTTACTTTCAGCATTTTTTGCTCAGGTTTCATTCCCAGCTGGAGAGCTAGGTTTTCTTTCCTTTGCAAGCGAAAACTGAGATGAGCTCTTTGTGTCCCAAGATTTGAAGCCTATGTAGGCTTTAAAAGCTGTCCTTCCTCCAAAAACAGCTGTTTTACATTTAATCCAGAAAAACTGTGCAATTGCTGTCTTTGGGTGCTGAGAAAACTTGCAACATGACTTCAGTACAGAATTAAGTATTTCTCACATTGTCCCCATGATTTTTATATCCCCATGATTTTTATATCAATGTTTACTTCAGGGAGGGTATCTTTAGACTCAGTAAAGCAAGGTAAATTAAGTGTTTTGAGATTCTCTAATGAAGAACTAAGTATGAACAAAAATTTATTTCAACCTGAAAGGATTTCTGTGTGGTGTAGGTATCTGGGTCACCATGGATGGAAATGAATGAAAACAAGCAAAGACCAATTTACACTTGTGGTAAATATGGCACCTATTATCCCTAAGAAAAGGAAGGAATAATAGGAAATTGACAGAGAACTGTAGCAGAGAACTATAATGTGATATTTCACGAGAGGGAAGGATTTTGAGAAATCTTTGTAGATCTGCCAATTCTCCATCCCTTCCAAGGCTGTGCTTGGAATTTGTGGGAAGATTGGCAATTATTTGAGGCACTTAAAAATCAATGGAGCTTTAACTGAAGTAGAACCAAAAGAAAAGAGAAAAAGCAAGCCTATCTTGAGAGGCTTCCCCTTTTTCACATGCATAATATATTTTAGGACATCATCCTGACTCGCACAGCATGTAGCGGGTGGGGCTTTTTTTCTTCCTACAAAAATGTTGAACAGCAGTGCAATTTGATACAGAAAGTGATTTATTCCCCTGCTGATAACTGAGATCATCTAGCATTCCAGACAAGCACAGTTAATGGATGACTTATCCCTCACCCGGCAGCTGATTACAGGACCTCAGGAGACAGCAGGCAGCTCTGAGTGGGGTTATAGAAACAACACAGCATTTTATTTTCCTTTTAGTGTTATTGCAACTATATTCAGCCCTGGAACGCTACGGCTGTATCAGCCTCGACCCCCTGCAGCACTGGCATGCGTGTAGGTGGGTAGGCAGCACTGAGACACCCTTGCTCTAAGACATTAATTCCCTCTTTTTGCTATCTCTGTGTAAACATTTGTGGGGCAGACTAATGGGCAGTCATTTGTTTGATGCCTGCAGATAGGAGAAGTTCCGCCAGGTCTCATGATGACTTTTTATTAAAAATCCTGCTAACTTATGGGTTGGTTTTAAACCCCTCCAGTCCTGAGGGAGTGCCAGTGTTCCGAGGAACACACCTTAACATGAATTGAAAGATGCTACGTCCTGGCATCTGACTGTGGAATTTTGCTCAGGTTGATTCCTAGGAGTATCCATTAGAAATATCTGAGATGATAACTGGTATTGCCATGGGCAGAGATAAATGAGGTCTGAGATGATGCTTTCTTCTTATCAGATGCTTTTTCACAAAGAAGATGAAGACTCAGTGGCTGAGCAGCAGAGAGACACTTGCCCTGCTATGATTTTGCTAAGAAGTAATATGAAGTAACATTTTTTTTTGTTTCAGGAGACACCGTTCCAGAAAAAGTAATTCAGTTACATGTCACTAAATATCTGGCTTTGCAGAGAAGTTGTCACATGATTCAATTTTCTCATGCAGCTTAGAGAATTAATTTCTTTTCTGAATTTGTCACACCCTCTGCATCTTCTGAACATTACAACATCCAGTCCACACCATGTGTGTCCTTTCTGTGAACTTTTAAGTAAGACTCAGATGAAGTATTGGGAGGGTGTTTGGTGTAAAAATACAGATTTTGTTCCCAGTGGTTTTTTTTAATACCCTTCTTTCTCTTTCCAGTACTACCAGCTCAACTGCAAGCAGCTGTGATACGGAATTTACAAAGGAGGATGAGCAGCGCCTGAAGGATTACATCCAGCAGTTGAAAAATGACAGGGCAGCAGTGAAACTGACAATGCTGGAGCTGGAAAGCATCCACATTGATCCCCTTAGTTATGACGTTAAACCTCGTGGAGACAGCCAGAGGCTAGACCTGGAAAATGCGGTCTTGATGCAGGAACTTATGGCAATGAAGGTATTTTATTTATATCCAACCCACTAACTGCATTGCTGACAATGCCCCTGCGCTACAAAACATAACATTTGATAGTTATCGCTGGGTAACAAAGGGTGACTTTGTTGGAACAAATAATCAGGGCTGAAAATCCAGTAGTCTGAAAGTGACAGAAGGCAGTGCATTAACAGTGATGAGCTACATGTGTTTTGAATTAGGCAAGGACTTCATCCATGGCTCTAAACTTGAAATGGTCTCCTTGACAAACCAGATGCTGTCTCTAAGAGATATGGCAACTGAGTTGCTTGAGGGTGACCAAAAGCATGATACAGCACTTCCCAAGAGACAGTTCATTACTTTACTTACAAGCTTGCAAATGTGCATCTTGAATATCTGTGAACTGAAGCAGAACTGAAGCATTCACCTCCTCCTAATAGTGCTGTGGGAGGAAGAATGGTTTGTCAGAAACTATCATCCCTCATGCTCTCCAGTTGCCAGTCACCAGTCCAGAGCTGTTCTAGGCATCGTGTTGCAATCTCTAACTCAGTTCAGAGCCCAAGCAAAGACTGCAATGCATAGTGACTTGCAGTAACAGAGGTTTTCAGAGAAAACTCTGGTCCCTCAGGCCTGGTTTATACATCCAGTTCTAAAGATGTGATCTAGAAAAATTGTCCTTTTTGACCAGGTATAGGGCTTATATCGTTTTTAATCTGACTTCTGTATTGACATTGAGAGAGGTGAACTAAAACACAGGAACATACTAAAGGCAATAAAAGCACATGTCTGCGTTTGGAAATTGCCTGGGCTAGGTTCAGTTTAAGTTTAATTTCTGCATGCCAGCAAGTTCAATTTCAGTCAACTAATGGCAGATATGTCAGATGGTAGTATCATCCTAATAGTTTTGTAACCTTCTAAAGCTATAGATTTTTGTTCTGATATGCTACTGGTGGCTAACTGGTAGCTTAGTAATGATAACTACATTCTTGGTGGTGCTGCCTTTCCACGATGACAAATACGATTTTGCAATAACGCATTCAATGTTTGCTGTTCAGAAAAAAGATTGCCTGCTACCAGTCAGAAGACTTATGTTAGTTTAGTTTGAATATATTGTGGCCAACAGCAATATATCCCCCACAATTAAAGCATGCAAGAGGTGCTGGAAGACATTTGTAGATAATTAGATATATGTTTCAGATATCACACTTCCTTCTCCTCTTTTGCATCCAGTTCTTCACTGAAATCTCTTGTCCATCATTCTTACCTCTGTCTTTGAATTGACTGATAAAGGAAAACTGCAGAGTTGTCCCTTGTGATTAGCACCCTTGTATTCCTGACCTGGCAGGAGCACCAACATTTGCATATCATCATTCTGGCAAGTTTTTGAGTGCTGGTAATCCTTTTTTCGCTAAATGATCATCCAGCATGTTTTTGACATATTGTGTCCACTCGTAACTTTCAGCTGGGCCTAGCATATTGGGTTTTCACTGCAGGAATTGTCCCTAGAAGAATAAATATTTTTTCTTGGTTGGTTTGTGCAGTGCATACAAGAATAGACACACATTTTACATAGATGGCTGAAGTCACCCTCATTCCTTTCTGGTACAGAGAAAGTGACAGTATTCCTTATAATTTGTTGCACTTTGTTGGGGTTCACAAGTGCAGGAAATCCCTAGGTTTCTGAAAAGCATATGGTGAAAACTCAAGTTTGCCAAAGCTTGGAATGGATTTGTTGGTAAGTGCTCTCCTGCTACAGAAATTGAGAACTCCTGCCCTCTATGCATACAGCATTACAGAAGACACAGCTACACTCTCCGTGCTTTGGTCCCAAGAGAATGTTCTACCTTGTTAGCATCCATGGTTGTTGCTCAAGTCTACACCACACTTTGCTGATATATTCAGCAAGCTATAACATACCTAAACGTAAGGGCAGAACTCATGGATGTCTTGGCTTTCTGAGTGTATTGGATGGACTCATCTGTGCTGTAGAGGACTTTGTCATCTGGCAGCTCTTAATTTGTTCACTCCCTTCCACATTCTTAGCAATTGTACATTCTACGGCCCGATTGAGCTGCTCATGGACTTCTGCCTTGCTAGGTCTTAGGACCTGCTGCAATCTTCCTGAAACTTGTATCTGTGATGGAATCTCTGCTGCATCTTGTGGCACCTTTCATTTATGGCTACCAGTAAAAACTGGTGACCACATCAGTCATATTGCTTCTTGCATCTATGTGTTATGCTGATAATGTTCTAAAAATGCCTTTACACCATTAGTTCTGCATTACTGCTGAAAATTATCTATAAAAAGATAGTTTGGGGATGGTTTCTCTGTTGCCCTGTTTACTGTTTTCTACTGATCCAGAGTGTAAGGCGTAGTGGTCTGCCAGTACTGTAAAATCCAATTCTTTGCTTCAAGCAATAGTTAACCGTGTTTCCAAATATATTCTCATCTGCAGTTTGTCATCATTCAGTGGTCTTGCTTTGAGGTCAGTTGTTGTCATGCCCCAGTTAGCAAGGAGATTAATTCTGATGGGTGTAAATAATTCTTGGTTTACAGCCTTTCTGCATTTCAAAGGACTTAATCTAGATAAGAAGTCTCGGCTTTCTACACTGGTAATTTTTTCTCTTTTGTGTACAGGTGGTGATAATATTGCTCATAATGTGCTTTGAGACTATAGTCTCTTTGTGGAAAATGTTTAGAATCCAGCTGTCCACCTTTGTTGCAGCATTTCATGCTCTTATAGTTGTATACACAGTTAACTAGACCATGGCATTTATCTGCTCTGATATTGTTTTACTTGTGAGGGCCTGGTGTACTCCACCTTGTGTACTGTTGCCCTCCTGGACTCCCTTTTCCTGACTTTTAGAATTTTTTGCCACATAAGAGTCCTTGATGTTTTATTCTTCTGACTGCATCCGACACAAATTTTCATTTTGAGGATCCTGTGGTGTTTTGGATTATATTGGGTCAGGTATGTTTAATTTTCATTCAGTTTCCACCCAAATTCAGAATTACAATATGACTGCAAGTACAAAATACTCTTCAATATTTAAGTAATTAGTCCTGAAATGACTGCTAGATTTGGTGCTTGGAGCTTGTGAATTTGCATGGATTGTATAAGTCTTCTGCAGTCAACTGGAAGAGTGTCCATGTACTTTCTTGTCCTTCAGGGTTTCTTTTTGTAAATACCACTTGTGCTTTAGGCCCATACTCTGAAGAAGCAGGTATGTTAAACTGCAAAATGTTTCATCAGCATCCTGTAATTAGGAAGAAGGGGGATAGTAAATATACAAAGGTGATGTTGGCATTGAAATGAAATTTAGATGCTATCTTTAGAAAACATATTTTCATGGAAAAAATTACTGCATATGTAAAGACCAATTAACTCTCTAAGTAAACCTGAGCAGCTTAAATTTTCCCACACAAAACGTTACTACTGTCACTCTCCCTCACAGATTGTAGGTGTCCATACCAGAATTCTCAGCTGTAGATTTAATTTTTCACTGAATTTCACTGAATTTCTAGAGTTGGAAGGGACCATAGAGATCATCTAGTCCAACTCCCCTGCTGAAGCAGGATTGCCTAGAGCTAGAGCATGTTACTCAGGACTGCTAACTTCAACCTTTCAATTCCTTCCTGTTCCTTCGCTGGGAGCCTCTGTAAGGTACTGGCTGGCAATTCTTCCACTTTTCCCCTGCTTTGTCTTTGCTTCTTTATTTCAAAGTCACATTGTCTTGGTATGAGAAAACTAACGTTTGTGGGGTGCTTTTGGAGTCCATGATAGGTCTTCTGGGTTAGGATGCAAACTTGTGGATTCAGATATGATGATCTAAGCTTACTGCCTTCATAAACAAAGGAGTTACCCATTGATCCTCACATTTCTTTTGAGCTAGGGTATATAGTACAAACAAACATCCAGTCTTTATGGTGAAACTTCTAAGTGATGAGAAAAATCAGTTCCACAGACGCATTGCTGCCGTGGTTAAATTCACCTATTTCTTCTATGAAATGAATGACCCGTATTTCTAGAGTGAAGTTGCCTAACTTCAGCTTCCAACATGGGAAGATTTTGTCATGACCCTCCCACATAGATAGTCCTCTGTCAAGAGTATCTTCTGTTCACGTAAGTGCCAAAATACTCTGCTCAAGTTACTTCTCAGCCTTCACTAAGCAGGCTAAGTAGATTAATGGCTTTAGAAATAGAGGCTTAAGAAGTTAAATGCATGCACTTAAGTATACCAGACAGTCCAGTTCAACTCCTGTAACTAAATTTCCCCATCATTATTTACCAGTAGTATTTACATTTTTACTGTTGACAAAGGAAATTAATGGTAAGTTTGCATAACAACTAAATTTCTGTAAACCACATTGAATGAAACTGATTGTGCCTCTGACCTTCAGTTCACAAACAAGTAGATGAATAAATGAATGATTTTAAAGCTCATACAAACCTTTCCAAGCCTGAGGGGTTTTAGGATATGGATTTTATTTTTGCATGGTTGGTGATTCTGAATAAGCCAATGATTACCTGTGATTATATATGTTGGTTGTAACTGTGCTACACCTGTGTGCACTGCTTAAATTTAATCCAAACAGCAAATTTTTGATAGGAATGTAGATTCTCTTCTATAGAAAAAGTTGGTCTAAATATGTCTCAAGATACGTATTTGTATAGTCTTTGATAATAATGGATATAGTACACAAAGAGCATTATATTTGAAGGTATTTTTGTGACTAAAATTTGCTCTTTTGTTTAAATTAAAAATTAAAAAGTAGGGATTTGGTCCTAGGCTGGCCAAAAAAGAAACTTCCATCTTTCGGAGATGTTTACACAGTGAACAAGTCTTGATCTGAACTATAATGCAGAAGATGGCTGCATGAACTCAGTATTCACCCATGAGGTGACCTAGGGCACAAGCAAGCTCAACAGTGAGGACATGATTCTGGGTTGGATTTTTTATTGTTTTGGTGATCTTGTTTGTTTGTTTGATGGTGGGTTTTTTAACGCACAATGTTATGTGTTATTTTTTAGGACTGTCTCTTTAAATGTTTTGTGGGTTCTGGGTTTTCCTGGGTTCAGAAAATAACTAGACATTTCATGGAAGAAAATTTTCTGAAGTGTTGTTAAACACAAAGAGCCGTCTGGTTCAGGATAACCATTGGCTGCTTTTCTGGGAGGCTGGGGGCAAGTGCTGAAAGAAGCATCACTGCACTTCTGCCTTGTTCTTACACTTGTGCCCAGCCACTGTCAGGGCAGATGTTAAATCAGAGGTCTGTCCCCAAATAGCAGTTGTGTTACAATAGTTGAGAGCCATGATCAGAGTGGCTGAAGAATTGCACACAAGAACTAGCTCTCAGAATTGAGCTTCTTTCTGTGAAGTGCCAGTGTCCATCTTCTGTGGATCATATTGGTGGAAGCATATAAGCAAGTGCGATTTTATCAACCTCCAGTTGTGTATAGTTGGGATTCTGGCCATCTAGACTAGAGACATTAAAAAAAGGACATCCAGTAGCGCCATACCCAGTTACCCTTTTTGACTAACTTGTTCTACCACAGAGACTGGTGTTATGAGGCAGGAATATGTGTCCTGTATTTGCCCTCCTAGTCCCTCAAACCTATTCCACTGTAATGAGATGATAACCCAACTCTTAATTCTTATATTCTTAATTCTTATACAAGAAGAAACTGGCATTTAGGGAGCTGTTTGACAAGAAAGCCAGACACTCCTGGTTTTAGGGCAGTGGTCTCTGAAGGGTAAAGTACAACCAAAGAAATTTCAGCAGCTGTGGCAACCCTCTCTGAACCCTGATACTCTAGTTTTGGCACCACATTAATGGGTCTGTTGCCTCTGAGTTTATTTCTGAGGCTGATTAAGGAGTGGCACAGCTTGTCATACTCACTGGTCTCAAAATATACTGTTCTTTTCACAAATACACTGTGTGATTATAAAAATCCTTCTGGATGCTGATAGAGTTCTCCATGGAAAGAACAAGAGTAGATTAAAACCTTGTTTAAACTCATCTTCCTTTAGGTATGTAGTTCCATGAAGCAGCATGCTGACAATGTTTCTTCAACAGGAGGAGATGGCAGAGCTCAAGGCGCAGCTTTACCTGCTAGAGAAGGAGAAGAAGGCATTGGAATTGAAACTGAGCACTCGAGAAGCTCAGGAGCAGGCCTACCTTGTCCATATTGAGCACTTGAAGTCTGAAGTGGAAGAGCAAAAAGAGCAGAGAATGAGGTCTCTCAGCTCAACCAGCAGCGGAAGCAAAGACAAATTGGGCAAGGTTAGGAGTCAAAAAGTTTCCAAAATTGGTATAAACAAGACTTATTATATTCCTTCCCTCCTGATAACAGCATGATAGTCATTCTCCTTTTTTTGTCTATATGTATCTCTTTTCTCTCTTCCCTGGTTGTTAGGTGGTTCTTTCCATGTGACTTATAAGGACTTCGCAGAATTACTTTTAAGCCTGGACTAAAATGAGGCTGTCATTTTGGGGTGCAGTACAAGAAATGCCAAACAGACAAGCTACTATGTTTTGACATGTTGTGTCTTGCCTGTTGTCACTCGCTGGAAGCAGTGGGAGAGAATATAAGCAAAATACTCTCAAATCCTCCCCCTACTCCAAACACAAAATATCAAAAAAACAGAGCTCATTTATATGAAGCAGGTAGAGCATTGTGACTGCAGTCCCTTTTTCCAAGTCAGACACTTGGTAATGATTTAAGAATGAAGACTTTTCTGCCTTTACATTAATAGTTTGCATGAAGAACTAGTGATACCTAGACAAACTTCAATCCTGTTAGTTTACTGCTGTATCCCCAGAAAGCCTCACTAATGTGTTTAAAAGCAAAATCCAGAGCTAGTAGATAAATGTGTCTTTTCTTACCTGTTTCTGGCAAAGCATCATCTGAATCGTTAGATCCAGTGCTTCTTTGTTTCAAATGTGGTGTCAATATATGTGGTGTCAACTGCACGCCAGCAGTTGTGCACACCATGGCACAATTCTGCCAATCTGTGAGCTGTGGTGGTTTAGGAAAGATTCAGAAGGGTTTATGAAGTCCATTTCCTGGCATGTTGGTGCCTGTTGTTGTGACATTGTGATGTTTATTTCACCTCTTATTTTAAAAGTAGCTGCGAACTTAGAGCTTTTCAGAGTTTTCCCATTAAGATGGCACCTTCAAATCAGATGGCCTTTCCTCATTTCTCAGGACTGCAGTGATGGCGCCGCAACACCATTAACACTGGCTGAGCTGAGACCCTACAACGAGAGTGAACTGACTGCTGAGCTGACAAATGCACTCCGGAGGTAAGCAAATTCCTTCACCAGAGACATGACTTGTTCTGTAGGTCCAGGGCGAGGTTTCGTTCTGAGCCTTGGCTCTCACCCTCAAGTGATTTTACGAGTGATCACAGATTTTTCCTGTGAGAAGGAAAAGGATCGAACTTCTTCTAACCTTCCCTTCTCTTTTGCTGTTGTTCTTCAGCTGATCAAAGTGCTCACACGCTGCTCAGCTCCAACCTCCTTGAGGTTCTCTAAAATTCAGATTGACTGTATCCCTATGAAACCCTCAAATGTCAGGAATGACCATATTCAGGCAAGAATACAAGACACAAATGAGTGAGATGACTTGCTTGAGGGCACGCAGAAAACCTGTAGTGAAGACAGGATTTGAAGTGTGATCTTTGGTTAAGAGGGTTTCTCACAGATTAGGACTTGGGCAGGAGTTACAGGAGTGAGAATAGCAGTGATTTTGATGACTCAGAGGCTTCCTTTGCCTCCCAAGTATGTAAGTAGAGCCACAGTTCAATTATGAATGACATTGTTGTATGAAGCGTTACTTTTCCAATGAGAGAGAAAATTGATGTCTTGACAAACTGCTTTTATCAACAGCCAGGTTCTAAGCCAAAGCTTTCAGTACAGTTATACATTAACTAGATACTTGTTTGTGCAGCAGTTTTTGCTGCACCAGCAATGTGGTAACATTCATGACAAAGATACTCACTGTTTTCATAGTTGTTTCAGTACTTGTTCTGCCTTTCCTAAGATGTGGCCTGCCTAATATCTAATCTGTTTATTGTGTTTAGAAACTGTTCAAAATGCTACTAAGAATTTTGGCTGGGAAGAGTGTACTTTGCATTTTTGGTGTTTGCACCCTCTTTAATGGTGGAGTGTCCTCTCAGGCACCTGTGGTGTTTTCATTCCTGAAGTGCTTTTTCCATAGGTGCAACTTGTAGCGTGCCTAGGGACACTTAAGCCTGAAAGGCATTATGTAAAAATGTAAGATCGTTACCACTGCAGAATCAATACATCTCATACCATTTGCTTAATAGTCTGGCAGTTGCTGCGTATTTAGTTTGCTTGATGGAGGAAACAAAATTCTGTGGTTAAAATAATCAAAACTGTCATTTGTGTGTGGGCGGATAAAACCCATCAACAAACGCATTTGCATAAACATTGCATAGAGCCATTGGCCTCCCCCAAGCCCTCCACATTCCAGCCCCGGTGTGAGCAGCTCCGCTGGCATCTTCAGTCCTCACTCAAGCTGCAGCTTTTTCCCATTCTCCTTATTTGCTCCTGGATTTCGCGAAGACGCACGCCAGTGACCCTAGTTAGTGGAGGCTTGAGTATAGTCATGAAATGTGGTTTGCTGACAACACAGAGAGAAAAACTTTGCTTTATCTACTAGGCCTTAAGTTGATTAGCATGGATTTCCAGCCAGGGGCCTAGCAAGTACAGTTTGTCAGGCAGAAATGGGGAAGAAAAATAATCGGATTAAGCTGTACATAAATTTTGGAGTGAAGACTCTCTGTGTAATGGAAATACAACTGTACCAAATGTGATTGCTAATGCCAGCAGGGCTCAAGCATGGTTCCCATGAGCTGTGTCGACAGGGTATTTTTCTCCCTAATCAGAGTGCTAGCCAAACCTGGCTGAATGCTTAGTCTTCTTATCCTGAGGTCTTCTTTCTCAAAGTTGGTAGAAGGTCTGCCTAGCGCATGGAAAAAGCTTATTGCAACTTGTTTAGCCATAGCTATGCTAAAAATACCAGCAGTTCCTAACTGCAATCCTGGATAAAAAGAGCCTCAGCTATGACAATGAAATGTAAAAATAATCAAAGTGCGTTTTCCTCTCTGCACATGCTGCAATAGTGCAGAATGGTCTGAAGCGACTGCGTTGTTTTTAGGGACAAAGTGGATTTAATTTAACTCTTTGCACTTAGCATGTGCCAATCCTTCAGTCCTCTTCCTGCCTGTATGCTGGCACTGTGTTTGAACCAGGAGAGGTCCTGGTGGCTCCCTCTAGCACCCTCCTCACCCACCAAATAAGTAGGACTAGACTTTAAAATAAAAAACTGCGTTTGCTGGGGGGGCAGGAGGGGGATGTGAAAAGGATTGAATGTGGCGCAGTGAAATCTGTGGTCTAGAGGCAATATTTAAATGCCAATGTTCAGGAGTATTTCAGTGCTGGTTGCAATTAGCACACACATCCAGCAATTGGACCTATCTGTTGTTACTCCAGGCAGTAGACACTAGTGCAGGAGACAGCAGCTGCAAGGATAGAGGCAAAAATCCATTTTCTTTTGAGCCTTTCTGTTTGTCAGAGAATGTGATACCAATCAGCAGCCTGCATGCTGCCCCCTCCCCATCCTGTCTTCACAGAGACGAAAGCCCTGGCGGCTGCCTCCTCTGCTGCTTTCCCATTCTGTCCTTCTGTTGCTGCAGAACTATCAGGTTCTTCTCAGTTAATTGAAATAGAGTGAAATTCAAATAAAACAGCAGGACGCTGTTACAGTTTGGATTTTGGTGTGGTTTAGAAGCAGCAAATAGTCTCATCCACAGAGGTAGCCTGTCTTCTCTCTGCAGATGTGGATTTTTTCATAAATCAGGAATCCAGCAGCGTGTTGTCACTGCTCCCCAAGTTGTCATTGGTAGTGCCCATCAGCAGAAATTCAAGGCAGGAGCAATTCTTCATGTATTGTTTCATAACATATCTCTTCTAGTAGGACTCAGGGTTTCCCATAGCAAACCCATCTTATGGGCTTTCCAGAGAAACCGCTTTTCTTTTCCATGGCTGCTATGCTAAGTAGGAGAAATGCAAAATATCTGCAAGTTCCGTGTTGCAGAAGTTACATCTAGGTTACCAAATTTCTGATATTGCAGGCTAAGGCCACTATGTTTAGAGACACATCCCGTTCCAGCCAAGCAGAAATAAGTTCTGCCAGAGTCTTTAGCAATTTTGTTTTCCCCTTTCCATTCTTGATATGGAATGATGGAATGTTTCAATGGACATGAAGCTTCCAGAGTTTGACACATCCATAAATGAGGTTGTTGGCAGGAAATACTTTATTCTTGGGAGGGCAAAAATGTATTTCCCAGCAGTCTCATGGCCTGGCGCTGACACCTTGATGATTGTGCCAGAAGCCAATTTTGTGAGAGTTCTGGTTCAATGCCCCAAAATCAGGCACATGACACAGTCTCTGAGAGAGACCTTAAAATGACATCTTCCTTGCTGGTGTGTTCTGCTCTGCTGCATCAGGAGGAGGGAGCCCTGTAGGTGACTTGTGTGAGTTTATAACTTAGTAGGCACATACCAGGTTATAAATGCATTAGCGATGGGAGGATGGAGACAGTATGAAGAATTCTGCATAGGAAATGCTCTTGCTTTAGCAGGGTGATAATGGTGGTGATACTATTAATCTTTTCTCTTTTTTCTGCTCAGTTCTTTCATTCTGTGAAGAATGGCAACACTGAAAGTTCTCTGTCCCCCCGGGCCCTGCTAGAAATGCTTTGATTGTTGAGGTCCTCATGCAGCCTCTCCTTGTATTTGCAGTTGCTAGTAGCTTTTCTGTGTGCATAGGGTTGTGTTTTCTGTATGTATTTAGAGAAACCTTTCTAAGCATTGAAATATTTGGGCAGGAAGGATTTGACAATACCAGATAAAGGGCCATAGCAGACAAAACACTTTGTAACTCAACTGACTGTTCATACCTCAGCTGGGTCATCAGTTGGCACAAAATTATGGTCTCTGATGGCTGTTCAGGGTTAGATGACTTGTGTCAGTCTAGACATGTTTCAGTATCTCCCTCACAAAAGGGTGACTCTCTATCTGGCAACACAACAAAGAAGCTATATACTTACCGTGTCTGATGACTTTAGAACTGAGAGATAACCTGACAAACGATGCTGCTAATTGGGAAGTCGCCATGCAGAGGGAGAGGGTGGTAGTCAGCAGAGCTGGCAAGCAGTTCTTTTTCTCTTAACAAAAAGTATGTTCTGCACAGAGCTATGGTCCTGCCTCTCTGGAATTGGAAACTGCAGATATTCCTAGTAGGACATAGAAAATTCATCCCATTGCAATAGCTTCCACGTGTCTATTGAGACACAGTTTTTTGTGGTCATATGACTATCCAAAGACCACAACTCTGTATTGTGCCAAACTTCTTGTTTTGAGACAGAGACCATTTCAACAGAAGGCTGTGCCAAGGCATGGCAGTGACTATTTCCTGACACAACGTCAGCCAGACATAAATCAAGCCACCTTCCTTTATTTTAAACTTCCTCCAACTTCATGTTAGCTTGGCGTGTTCAGGGGTCACCCTTATTTTCATGAGAGCAGGATCAAGGAGTAGGGAGAAGCATCTCTGAAACTCAGTGACCAGTGACCATATCTTGACCATCATGAGGCTAAGTCTTGGGAGTTAAAAGAGAAATGCCTAAAACACATCATATTTTAATGATTCAGATTTGGAATGGCTCTGAAGAATTGAATCAGTAAAATCCTCTTTCTGTTTGGCCAAGTGCAGGGTGAACATACAGTGGATAAAAGGGGGGGCGGAGGCAGGGGTTGGTATTCAGGAGCTACTGATGAGTTTTTCCAGCTCATTGTTGGCTGCTTTTTGTCAGTTACATTTGCTGATTTCTGTTCTGTCATCATCACGTCCATTAAATGGGGAGGTCTGCAACTCTGAGACATTTGAAAGCCAGAGACTGGCTAAGATTGTGGTCATTGAGAATTTTCAGGGACCTCTGCCGTGGTTTTCCTTGGCTGCCTGGGGGGTTCAGGAGGCACAGCCTGTCTCTGGAAATCCCCTCCGGAGAACCCCACCGAGAGAAACGTTCTCGCAAGAAGAGGAATGACTCAGGGTGACACAAGATTCCTCAGGAGCGCCTGGGGTAGCTGTTCTTTCTGCATGCACCACAGACAACCATAATTTTTCTTCCTCTCTGTTTCTGACATGGAATAAGTAGTCCTCCCTACCACTGCGTGGTTCTCTGGAGCTGCTGTGCGCTTGGATGTAATCCTGA